TCAAAAGCATTCGATAGTCGTGGCTCAATGATAACCATTTAGTCGCACGGCGAGGTTGTCACATATGCTTTAGTATACAAATGAATGAATGATTTTATTCGAATAAAACCATTCGATAGTTGAAATGATTCATTCAGTAACCATTCGATAGTCCAATTCATTCGATAGTTCCCATCGCTAATTTTATGTACTCAAAACAATGGCGGTTTTTTGAACATTTGCTCATATAACTTGTGTATGTAGTGATATTAGTTTTTTAAGTTTTAGGTTGTGTAATGTAAATGTAAATTGTAAAGAACCGTTTAATAAAATATTCTGTCTTTTTATAAGTTATAAATCATAACAGAATAATACCATACCAACTAAGTGATATCAGTCAAGAAAGATAAGAATTGGCTATAACTCCGTAATTTTTCGAAAAAAACATATAGCTTATATCGCTAAAAACCTTAAAAAATGCGCTTTTTATGGAGTCATGGCCAACTATGATTTTCATTTAAAAAAAACATATGTTTGTGTCATATATGTCAAAAATGACAAGCTTTAAAAAAATCGGAGAACACAGACTCACTAGGGATGTGATTATCTACAACTTTTATCTGAATACTTTTTTTTTCTAAAATAGATTATAATGGAATTAGGGACAATTTTTAAAATAGCCGAAATTTTTTTTCGAAATATCTATTAAGCCATGAACTTTTTCAAAAATCTGAAAGGCGCATATTTATGACCCCACAAAACTGCAATTCTTTTTTGAAATTTTTGACCGGGATCTACCGCTACCGCTACCAAACCATTTTACAGTCTTTTTCGATAAATCGCAATAGTGTCACTGTTAATTTTACTGTTAAACAACTATCAGTAGTAGAATAAATAATAAATAACATAAAATAAGCTCAGTAAAGACTGACAAATCCACAAAATTTCAAATCAAATTCAAATGTGTCAAATGAATCGTCAAACAGAACTGTCAAGGATCCCCATCTTAGGACCCTTTCTCCGTCTACCATGCATGAATGAATACACGGATAGCATTAAACTCCTTTCTTAATCTTTTTATTCAAAGGTCCATATGAATATTTGTAATTATATCAAGGCGTATAGCAGTTAATTGAAACTAACGAACATAGTTGATTGCAACGTAGTCTCCAAGACGCTAACAGGCGCGTATTACGTACCCAGAACGTAAGTCACATATTCCTCCACAGAATTAATTACAAGCGAATCGAATCAGACATCTCCCCTTCCCCCGTCCCGGACTTCTTGCATGCCGAAAGCGAGTGGAGGGACATCAATTTCGACAGCGACTCGATTGTTCGATGAAATTACATTATAAATCAGACAGGCACTCTAAAGTTAATTCGATTACGGGCAACTTCTAAAACTAATCAGAACTAATTTGTTTGCCATAATGCAGATCGATTTCGGACCATTAAAAATTTACCACGGACATTAACAATGTCAGCTAGCGAGACGTCACATTCTCGGGATAGTTGATTAGTATCGATCGGCAGAGGAGACTGAGCATTTTAGGTCGTTTAAGGAAGAATTTCGTAACTTATAATTACTTGAAATAAGTCTAAATTATATTTATATTTTCAAAAAGGTCTCTGTTTTTCGCCACTGGAAGAGAAATCAACAAAAATAAAAAGCCGACTAGTTGGCCGAGTCAACTCGTCTAGATTTGGGTATTTTTTATCCTTGTATATCCTGTTTTTTAAATGGTCCCAGAGAAAGAAATCATTTGGCGAAATATCAGGAGACCTTGCTGGCCAATTTACTGTATGATTTAGGCCAATAACGTTTTCGTTAAAACTATTGTCTAAAATATTCGAACAGCCAGGGTACTATGTGCCGGGCAGCCATTTGGTACCAAACTTAAATACTAATAATACTAATAAAAATAAAATATATTTTTCGAATTTTTTTTTTTTTTTTTTTTTTTTTTTTCATTTTTTAAATTTTCGTGTAAGAATTAATGGCCCGATAATATTGTGTCCGAATATCCCTGCTTAAACATCTACTTTCTGTGGATATTCCGTCCTTGTTTCGACAAACCAGTGTTGGTTTTCTTTGTTCCAATATCGATAATTTTGAACATTAGGTTCATTATTTAAGGTAAACGTGCATTCGTCAGTGAAACATATGTTTTTTAAAAATTCCCTATCCGTGTTATCCTTTCCATCATATCAAAACAAAACGCCTGCCGCCGTGTTTCGTCCCCATCTCTTAGCTTTTGGTGCTTTTCATATTTGAAGGAATAGTATTTATGTCGTTTCAAAATTCGAGACGCTCTAGTATGATCTATTCCTATTTCATCCTCAAGTTTCCTTGTGCTGATATTTCCATCGTTCTCTTCCACGCACAATAAAACTTCCAAGTCGGTATCATTTCTTGCATTCTCTCTCTTTGGGGGGGGGGGGGGTTCCTGCCCATTGCTTCTTCACATCTGCAGTTATTAATTAGGGTACCTTTGGTCTCAAATCTCTGGATATTCCTTGCGATTGTAGAGTTTCCAGGTATCGGTCTATTCGGTACAGAGCAGCAAACATGGCCGACACCTTTTTGATAACTATTTCCTTCATAATACCATTTAATCATCAATACTTTTTCTTCGGTAGTGTAATTCATGGCTATATTTTCGATGTAGTATGAGTTTTAAATTATAATAAAGCAGTAAAATAGATAAATTTCTGAAATGACAACTTCATTTGACAGTTATCTTTTACCTTGACTGGTGCTCATAACTAAATACAGGGCTATAAGAAAGGAGAAATATTTCAAAAGAAATCGGCGATAGCTCGTAAACGGGCTAATCAAAAATATCTAAAGTTATTCTTTTGAATGTGGGTTTTAGTTAGTAGTGGGAACTATCGAATGAATACTATCGAAACATTCGATAGTTTCAATTCATTCGAATAATTCGATAGTTAGTAAGAAAACATTCGTTGAAAACTATTCGAATAAAAATTATCGAATAGATCCGTCATCTGCCTTGAAATATTGTAATTCTAGTAATTCGGCAAGCAAAAACCATTCATTTATAAAATTCATTCATTTACGAAATTCTTTATTCGTCAGGATCGATTATAATAAAAATATTAACTGAATTTTAGTTGTCGCCCGGCGAAGTAGGTTTTTTTCCGAGAAAGCTGTCGGTGGCAATGCTATGAAAGAAGCCGGCATCTTGGATTTTTTGCGGAGTCCAGATATAGAATAAGGAAACATTATTTTTTTTTATTGAGGTGCTAGTATGTACACAGAAAATACATTATGAAGGGCGCGTTGCCAATATTTTTGGTATTAGTTGATATTAGCAAAAAATATTATTTGTTTGGCTTGGTTAAGTAAGTTAGTTAGGGATAGTATGTCTATAATATTCTGCATTTTTTTTTAATATTCTGTTGTTACACTGAAATAATACTTGTTATTTTGGATGTAGGAAATTATTTTAATGTTTTTAAGCAAGACTGGTATAATATAAATAATAATAACAGGAATAATTTTGTTATACTATTACACAAAAATTTAAAAATCAATTTAATTATAAATATTTTTTTAAGCAGTAGAAAATATAAAACCAAAAATTAGATGGTCAAAATTATTTATATTAGATCCTATTTAAAAATAATATAGTCTCTAAAATTTTTGTGTGTGGCAACGTTGGTTTTATTAAATAAAATCAAATTACAGAAAATAATTGTTATAATTAACAACAAATTTTAAAATCATGAAATATAAACATTTAATTAATTTCTAAGCATGCAGTGTGTAATGGAAGGAAAATATAAATAAAAAAATTAGAAAATCCAAAATTTATTTAATATTAGGTGCTTTATATACCTAATTTTAAAAATTATCGATATCGATATATAAAAATATTTAACTTTAAAAAATAATATGACATATTTTCTTTCGCAAAAACTACATGTAAGAGAATTAGCAAAAACATATAAATGTATGTCCTGAAATGATTTGTTTCGGAGATACCGGTTGTAAAACTTTCATTTTTAATTTTTTTTAATTATTTCTTATTTAATGTTTACTATAATTATTTACTTAACCACATTACTTAAATATGATTATTAAGTTCAACTAATTCCAAAAATATTATTTAAACATCTTGTAAAATCAAATATGTATTTTTAAAATTTAATTGTAAAGTTCATGCTCCATCTCTCTTAAAAATTGCTACTTCTCAAAAATTTCCCATTAAAAAAATAGACCATATACCATATAAAATTAAATAAATTTGAAGATCGGAACTAAACGGAAAAAGCACACAATTTTTTTTTCATTTATTTTAACTATTTTTAATAAACGCAAAAAATAGCACAGTATTTATACAAGCCGAAGTTATAAAAATTTGAAAAACTAATAATGCAAGCCTGACGCATACAAAAAATCAAACGAAATACTAATTTCATTTATCAAAGCATTCGATAGTCCGATGGCCAACTGATAACCATTTATGTCGCACGGCGAGGTTGTCACATATGCTTTAGTATACAAATGAATGAATGATTCTATTCGAATAAAACCATTCGATAGTTGAAATCATTCATTCATTAACCATTCGATAGTCTAATTCATTCGATAGTTCCCATCGCTAGTTTTAGTGCTCTTAATAAAACTAAATAGAATTATTCTCTAAAATAATTAGGGAAGCCAATAATTGACCCCATTAAAATTTACATGGGATTTCCTATGTCCCGCTCGACGATGCAACACCCGGTAGACTATATTATAGGGTCTGTACTCGTAAGATTTCCACAGACGATGGCAGAAAAAATTGGTCAAGGACGAGTCGGACTCGAAAACTACAGGTTAACGCGTAGGCTTATTGTTTCGAATTTCCCTTCACAGGTATCCAAACTATTTAAAACTGTAAGTCAGGAAATTCAAAGTGTCTTGTGTGTTTTTGAAATTGATATTTTTTTAGAAATTAGGCGATAATTGTTTTGAGTAGTTTAATTACCTAATCTTTGGAATATACTCACCATGCCCATTAGCCATCCCATTGTGGTGCGTGTACTTTATACGCTTATCCTCCAAAGGTAAATGTGGAGGTGGAGGTAGCTGTAACAAAATAATTAAAAGTATATCACGAAAAATATAAAAAAAAATAATTAAATTATTTTTTATTTCCCATCTTTCTATAACTTAAATTCTCTAAAAGTAATATTCTTTTAAAAATGTATTTAGATATTAATAAATATCTACTAAAACCTATGAACTAGTAATTCCAATTAATACATATTACGAGCAATTTACTTTTTGGTATTCAGAATTTAATTATATATATTTCCGCATAATTAATTATATCATTAGATAACTACCGATTAATGAATAAATTCTGTCATATTTATAAATGAAATTATAATAATTACATTAGGTTTCAATAGGCTAAGCATGAATGCCTAAATTAATTATTATTTTATAAAAATCTAAATAAATAATTTTGTGTATTTGAGTTTTTTTTTACTGCTTCAAAAATTCTTCCTATTAATAAAAACAATAATGCTAGGTGGTTAAATTACTAAATTTAATTTGCTAATACATTTTTTATGATTAATGGTAGGATTTTTAATGAATAAGTATAAAAAACTTAATTAGAATTCTTCTTTAATAACTTTCTTAAAAATACAAAAAAAAAAAAAAAAAAAAAAATACTGAAATAAAAATAAACAAAATTTTTTTTTTTTTTTTTCTTAAAATAAGAAATCTGACAATGCATAAATATAACTAAAACAATAAAATATAAAAAATTAAATATTTAACATACGTCACATTTTTCTCTGTTATACGAGTAAGTATAAATTATTTTAACAAAATCGTTTAAAATCAATCCAGTTGTCTACTAGAATAAGAAAGTTTGACAGTTTCTAAAAAATGGAGAAAGGGCAAACGATATATTATACAATTACTGATAGGGTGTAATAAATAACTTCCTAACAACAAGTTTTTATTTAATCCATTACTAAAAAGTAATAAAAAAAACGTTTAGGTTTAAGAAAGGTCTGTTTTTTAACAAAGAAGCGTTTGCGCTAAATTGTTTTTTTTAATTTTGCAACAGGGGTATGTAAACGGTATACAGTATACGTTTACAAAACATATGTTCAGCACTGCAAAAACTGTCATTGAAATATGAACATATTCATAATGCATAAAAATTTACATAAATACGTACATTTAAAGTTAAAATAAAAGTTTTTTTTTTAATAATTATGATAATTTAAAACCTTACCCTCAATTACGTTTCCAAAGGAAAAAAATGACGAAAAAAAATCCTCAAAATCGCTACAAACGCGTAATACGTAAGTAACAGAGCCTAAGTGTACTTTCTCTTCCTTTTGCAATTGAACTATAAATCGTGTAAAAGCAGTAGCTGGATATAGCATATTTATGTCTTTAGGAAAAATATTATAACATTAAAATAACGCACCTTATAGTTTGATATCAAACAAACAATGTGTGGACACAATGGCGTCTTTACCCTTGATCACGCTTATGAATACCCTGAGCCTAGATATTTCATAGAAGACGCAACGTGATTGGGTAGATTTGATCATGTGACAAGATTTTGTAGTGTCGAGTATAGGTTTCATATACGTTCCATTTAGATTCCATCTGCTGTAAAAAGTCTAACGATATGATTGGTAGATCTAGTCACGTGACCAGATTTTATAGTGTCGAATAAACGTTTCGTATATGTAGTCTATATAAACCATTTTCTATATAATTTTATTGTTTTTTTTTTTTTTTTTTTTTTTTTAACTAAATTCAGTTCTTTTTTAATATTTTTATATTGAGTCAAATTTATCAAAAAATCACAAAAAAACAGTTTGATAATTACTTATTATGCCCTTTGTGTCTGAACTTTTCAAAAATGACGAATATAACTGACATAGTGCCAAAATCGAAATATTATATACTTAAAATATAGGTTTCGAATATACGTTTAAAACATAGATTTAGTAAGAACAGATATCACATTGTGCATTTTAACCCGATCAAACAATCGGAGGTTGACTACGTACTGTAAGAACCAACTGAGATAGAAGAGGCGACATTGCCACATATCAAAATTTTGCCGTCCTATTCCACCTTAATTTTTGATTTGCAGATAAAGGTGACTTAAAACCTTCACCGGATAACAACTAAATCTCAATTCTTAATTAAAAAATTAATAGTGTATTTTAAAGAAGCATGCGTAATAATATGTTAATAACCAGAAGATATAATATGCGTTACTATTAAAGGATATGTTTACTGTTTAATGTGCTGAAACGTCTATAACTTATTGGCAACGTGCTGCTAGTCTTCCAGAATGAAAATGAGCCGTCCGTCCCACCACCCCTCGCGACGGCCCTTGGTCCGTTATAGCGTACTACGTTTAGCTTACGGTGTGTTTGAAGTCGGAATCAAGTCCGAAGTGAACCTTTCAGTGTTTTTCAGTAGTTTTTCTTTTTGTTTAACCTACTTTTGAATCAGCCAATGTTCAATATGGTACGACAGTGTCAAGTGTGTGGAAAAATAAGCTCAAATTACCGGAATTTGTCTTTTCACAGGTAGGTATTGTTTCCGCCGTAATCGTACATAGGCGTCCCATAAGGGAGCCTCTCAAATTAAAATAAGAGAGAGAGAGTGTTGAATTTTGATCTATTAAAACAAGAACGTATTAGCCGGTAATTGAATTATAATTCGTCTCATTTACTACCTAACTGTTGTAGATCATAACAAATTTGAATATAAACGTTGCATTTGAAACTTTATTATATGCCAGAAAGTGACATATTTTTAAAAATTGCGTCATATTTTGGTCATTATATACGATATTCTAAAGGAATTTTTCTCAACAAATAAACAAAGGTGTTTACCCGACCCTTTTTACACTTTATTGCTTAATTATATAATATCTGCCCTATACATACATATATCTGCTCCTTCGGTCTTGTTTAGACAAGTTTTTACCACCGTACAATACAAATACCTCTTCCTAGAGTTATTTGTACGGTGTGTTTACCTTTTTTTAGAATGGGACGAACTATAAATAATTCTTAGGCTCTACTAGTTTTAATAAATACACCTATATACAGAGTGACCCAGGCCTCCAAAAAAGCTGTTTACCTATTACGTTTTTGGTTTGTGATTTGCTATTTCCAATATTACATATAAGATCGGGGCCATTGTAACAGCACATTTTCCAAAATATTTTTGTCAACATACAGGGTGATCAAACCGCAAATATCATATGCTTAACAAAGTTCATGAAGATTGGAACGTTTAACTAAAATTTTGATTGTCTGATTAAGCTACAAAAGTAATGGATTTGTAAATAAACGTAATATCCATTATTATGCGACAGAATTCCCATACTGTAGCACACAGATTTGATACTTTTAATGATAAATACCTCCTATTTTGGAAAAAAAAAGGATTTTTTTTTTTTTTAAAATAAATTATTGATTTAAGATATAAGAAGTTATTAATATAAGATTAAACAAACTATTACACAGTACTTCATAGGAAGCTATCGATTGCGGGACTAACTAAAATGTTAACTAATTACTAATTTTGAAAAGTCTTTTTTAAGATCAAAAAGGTAAAACTAAAACCTAAACTATATTTGAAATTAAACGGGAAATTCTAAATAATGTTGGCCTATTCTAAACAGAAAAATTTATTTATAAGTTTTATAACATCTCTAATTAAATTTGGACGAAAAGAATATCTGTTTTACTTAAATAGGTAATTTTCTCAGAGATTAAACGGGAAGTTCTAAGTTCTCTTCTTCTCTCAGGGAAATACGTAAATAAAAAATGACTTTTTAAAGTCAAAAAAAATCAAAAAGGACAATGTTATTCTAAAAAGTACTGTCCTTTTCAAAAAAAGGACAGGTGGCAACCCTATGTATTTCTGAATGGATTTAAAAATGGCAAAATCTACAACTTTTAGTTCGAAATATTTCCGACCTATGATTACAAAATGTCTAAAATGTGCTTAACCATTGCCTCCATATTCTAAACAAAAATTGAAAAAGAAAGTCACTAAAACCACAACCTAATATAGAACTGTTTCGGAAGCCTGCATCACCCTGTAAGTTATTCAAAAAGTAACTGGAGTGTTTATATAGAAGTAATTGAAAGTTTAAATTGAATATCGACGTTTGGAGCGATTTTCGAAACTACCTACTAACGTTTCACATAATATAATATGGATATTAATTTATATTATTATAGATGAGAGCGCGAATAACAAAACCCATCTAACGAAAAAGTGTTAATGTAGTATATTAATATGGAGTAAAAAATTTTACTAATTACTTACTTTTACTTTAACTAATTAAATTCGTTCAAAAAACGATACGCCACTGGCCATTAGAACAATCCAAATGCGCCTAGTTGCCGGGGTCGGAAATTTTAGACTTCTCTGTCTCTTCTGTCCTTGTTTGACACATTGGAATGTTTGATACACTACCAACGAGTATTTATGAATGAGATGTTCGGTCTATCTTTATAATGTCTTTGGTTAAAAAGCAGTATAATAATATTCACTATAATAAACGTATATACTAAGATTGACGGATAATAAAGCCCTTTAATATGCGTATATTATACGTTGCATATAAAAAAGTAATATGAAATACGTATATTATTTATACCTTTAAAAAAATATACGATATTTATACGGATAGTACGTTTATTAAACGTATATACTCTTGAACGGTGTTGCTTGGGTTGGTTTCCCCATATACGTATTACTTTTTACAAATATACTCAGCCTAATCTCCAAAAAGTGAAGCCCAAACAGTGAAAGAACAATATGGAATTCTGCATAAGTCTATTTCACCCGGATATTCATTTAACTGAGCATGCCTCACCTGAAGAATTTTTCATTGGTCGATGTTTTTAAGGGAAGTGGTTGACTGACATTTCCCTACACTTTCAATTTTTATTTAGATTTAATATTTATAAACATTATCATGGAGTTGGAAAAATATCAAAAAATAGTTTTGGAAACAATAAACTAATCAAAATCACTCTTTACGCGCAGACAAAATAAAAAGTAAATCCCCC